TTTTAGAATGGGCGTGATAAATTACATAAACAAGACTGCAAATAATTATGTAGCTTAGCTCCGTAATATTTAGTTTATTGATAATTTTAATTTTTGAAGCTACTTTTACAAATTTTAAGAATTTATTTCAAATATAAATAGATAAAATATAATTCTGTGCAGCATTTTTATTCTAATAGGAAATAAAGTCCATAACAGTCGAACGCACCAAGTTATTTAAGCACTAAAGATCCATCTTCAATCATCATAGTAGATGAATTTTCTATTGGATGCTTATTTCTATTTTACATTTTTATTTTTAATATTAATAATGGAAAAGAAAAAATCAATTGAAATTATTTCAATGTTCAGAGTGATATTATTAAATACAAATGTATATAAATAAATGTATATAAATAAAAAAATATCAAAGAAGTAGTGACATTGTAATGTACTTACAGCAAGCGATATTGAGAGTGCTGCATTTCTTGGATGGTACCCAAAGATTAGACGAACCAGTGTCAAAAATTACTTTAAATTCCTGTGGTGGAGTTCCAATCGAGATAACACCATAGTATTGAGCATCCAGATAATTAGATAAAGGTTCTGGTGTGGCAGTAGTCGTAACTAAACGAACTTGTGTCAGGTCAGTGTCAGCCTCTTTTAAAATTTTTCGAATGGAATCTGTCTTGTGTAATGAAATTCTTAAAGCAACATAAAGACATTCCATTATACTATATGCATACCATTTATCATATCAGTCGAGATATTTATACATAAAAGATGGTATATATACACACATGTGTATAGAAGTATATCTCCATTGATGCAAGCAGTATTAATTTCAAAAACAATGAGTCATGGAAAGTTCGACCTTTGTTCTAGAAGCTTTCTTATACATGTATGATATAAAATAAAACAAAATTGCATGTGTACAAATTAAAAAAAAAATCTATTCTTTTAATTGGATCTAATAATCGATTTGAATCTCTTTCTGAATCATGATTTATTTGAAAATATTATATAATTTATAGTGCAATCTTTTTAAATAAATCTTAATTCAACAGTATAAACATTCATCAACTACTTTCAATGAGCTAACTATATTATTTAAAAAATATATGATAAAACAATAAATAATAAGTACCTGATCAGGAATTAGCTCGCTACTGTTTAAAAGTCTGTGTTTTGTGACTAAATTAGTATACACTTTTAAAACTTAAAATAAGATAGATAGATATATATATATATATATATTTGTATATGATTAGTATCTAGTACAAGGAAAAAAGAAAATTTTAGTACAGTCTAATGCAGAAATAAAAAACAGATCTTATATTTGGCCGTGTTCCAATTGCCAGTAATAAAACTCTATAGTGCACATAACATAAGCTATAGATTTTCAATATTGGCAATAAATTTTGGAACACGAACTTTGTCTATATAAAAATCACAACGAAGTACTCCAGTTGCTTTTTATTATTCTCAAATCTCATTGAAGAAGACATAAGAAAAATAAAAGTACAAAAAATCTTGATAACAAGCATCTCTTTGTCCGCTTCCTTTACTCTGATAAGAAAAAATAGGATTCTCCAGTTATCACAGGTTAAGATTATTTATTACAGATTTCAAGATGTTAAAGGCACGACTTCTAATCGATTTATCGTTTACGGATACGTATGTCAGTACGAATCCGCGATGTTTATTTTACATGTACTCACCTTTGGAATTTCGCATCGATCAGCACAGACAGTGCCGTGATTGCGATGAAGAGACGTAGCATCTTTCCTCAATTACTTCGGAGATTGCAAGAAACAATACTTTTAAAGACGTTGTAACTGTCCTCTCTGTAAACCAGAACCGTACAAACCGTACTACGTTTTAGTTAAAATTCTTGAATCCTGTCGGTCGACTTTGACCGACTTGTCAATCAGTCACCCGCTCTCCCCGATTAACCGATGCCGTCAAATGCCGTTTGATGTGGTTTGATGCTGTTTGCAGTTTGACGACGAATGACGACGCTATACCGGTACCGGCTATATCACAGTATCACCACATATACAAGTACCCTCTATTAAGCCTTGTGTCCACGATGCTAGAAATCGCGGTCCGTAGTAAAAAATATTTTTTAAACATGGTATGCTGATTGGGTAGCACGGCGCTGCACCAGTTTTCCCAGTGGGAAAACGCTATCGGATGAAGAAAGAATTAACAAATCACATTTGAACAATTTGGTCAATGTAATTGGTCAATTTTTCCTTCATCCGAGATCTCGGACCGATTTCTAGTATCGTGGACACAAGAAAGCCGGTTCTACATTAGTTGCAAGCCGATCGCAAGTTCGTTGCGACAGCCACAATAGGTCTGTTCGCGTTGCATAAAATCCCCAAATAATTTTGCACTTAAAATGAGATAGATATATATATTCGACGTTAAAAAGAGAGAGAGAGAGAGAGAGAGCGAAGATAGTAAGTGCAAAAAGTGCAAGCAACGCGAACAGACCTAATCTCAAGCTTGCATTTTGAAATCAACGCTTCAGATTGGCTGTCGCAACACAAACTTGCGATCGACTTGCAACTAAAGAACCGGCATTACATGCGTGGTCTACAATGGCAGTAGCGGATGAGACTGTGAGAGTAAGAAATTGACCAATCACGGTCGATTATTCTTCTCACATTCGACTGTGATTGGTCAATTTCTTACTTCTGCAGTCTCATCCACTACTGCCATTGTAGACCACAATCGAAAAAATTTCGTTATGTTGGAATTTTATCTTTAACGCCTTAATGCTAACCAATAGGAAAGCTTATTTATACACTATTTCGACACTGGCGGTCACAGTTTCGTTTTTGATGTTTAGAAGAGAGATCAAACAATAAAAGGAAGGTTAAAGTTACGGTTAACGCTTTTTTACGTGCAAAGGTCTTTACTTTATTGTTACCGCGTACAGAGTTTTCCCTCTCTCCTTTTTTCCTTTTTTTACCCTTCCCCTTTTTGGAAAGCGCTGTAAATTATTAAATTTTATAGAGAGATACATAATTATTAAACTAATAAGTGAAAAAAAATGTAATTTAAAATGTAATAAATTATAAATATAAAAAACGCGTCCCTGCTAGCAACACTGCCATCCCTAATATAAAATCTTGAGGAATGGCTGGAGTGATACGGACCTGTTCGCCTCGTCTCGAGGAGTGTTGCATCATTTTTAGAAAGTGTTGCCGGCTTCGACTATATACCTAGCAAAGTAGCAAGCTTGGCCAAGTTTACCTCGTCATCGACCCAGACCATTTATATCAGAACTGACCTTACAAGTGGCTTGTAAAAAATAGAACTCAATTACTGAAATGATTTTATTCAATGCAACTTTATTCTTATAAATATATATAAAAAATGAAATTGTATAAAATTTAATAAGATTTTCGTCTTGTTAAAACTTTTTTCTTTTTTTTTTCTTTTATCACGCAAATATTGTCGAGTTTCATTGGTTGATTTAAGCATTCTAATTTTTATTATAGACAGTTACCGTAGGAACAAATTAATAATAATCTCGTATTGACAAATTCTTTAATTTATGGGATTTCAATCTGAATTCAAAGATATATTCATTCATCAGAAATTATATTTATTTGCCGATGAATCTTCAGTCACATTAAATTCAATCTGCCCATCAGAGTTTCCTTTAACTTCAAAAGTAAGAGTTTCTTCTGTATCCTAGAAAAATTTTTTATTTAATATGTTGGTCCCAAAGAATACGAATATTCTTATTGAATTAATAATATAATTAACACACTATTCAATTTAATACAGTTAAAGACAGATCTGAGTTTAAATCCTAGCTACGATAATACTTTTCGCAACAAGTTCTTTATAGAAGCTGCTAATGGGCACGTTCAGCGGACTCAACAGTTGAGTGAGCGCTCGCTGTTATTGGTGTATTCTTCTAGATTAAAAATTCTGATTGGATAATCTAAAAGAATACACCAATAATAGCGAACGCTCACTCAATTGTTGAGTTCGCTGAACGCGACCAATAGCATCAAATCAAAGATCTAATTTAATTTAAGGGAAATACTATTTCAGTTTGATTATGTTGCATGTCTGAAATAATCGGCGAAAATGGTATATCTGAGATTTTAAATACATATAGATATATTCCAACATCCAACTTTAATCATAATTGATGCTTTTTCTATTTAGTAGATTAATATAAATAAAATTACAATTTTATTCGTAATATGTATTTTATCTATTTAGATAAAATTATTTGTGAATAAAATATACAAACCTTTTGAGAAAAAAACGCGTCGATTATAGCCATAGATTTTTGATAAACTTGTTCATTCGAATGATGTTGAAGAACTTCTATTTTATCCAATCCTCCAGCTTCTTCTATCATAATAGCAAGTCTTTCTTCTTGTTCTATTTTCTCTGCAGCGTGTAAAATATTAGTTAAACCATCTAATACAACAATAATAACATTCCAATCCTTCGATTCTAATAAATTACAAAAAGGTGGCAATACACCCGCTCCTACTAATTGAGATAAATGTTGAATTGTTCCTCCTGTTGTCAAGTTCGTTATAGCCCATGCAGCTTCTTTTTGTGACTTATAATCCCCCTTAAAAATGGATATATTCATAAAATTCTTTATAGAAATATTTAAAACAAATTTTTGACTGATTATATGTACAAATATACTTACAAACTGGAGTACTTTTATTAATGGTGACAACAGACCAGCATCTATCGCACTTTGGATTTGGTCCTCATTACCAGCCATAATATTACTAATTGCCCAAGCAGCTTCCTTTACAATATTGGCGCGAGGAAACCGCAACAAAGCACCAAGATGTGACAATCCTCCCGCATGAATTACAGCATCTGTTTGAGCATCATCACCTGTTACTATATTTCCAACTGTACGCAATGCTGGAGTAAGAATAATTCCTTCCTGTAAAGTCAACATCTCTACGAGTTTCGGTATAATGCCAGTTTCTAATACTGCTTGTATTTTGTCGTTGGATCCATCAGTAAGATAGGAAAGTGCCCAACAAGTATCAGCTAGGACAAACAATAGTGTATTTCAAATTCAAAATATATTAAATAACAATAACATGAACATCTTACCAAGTACATCTCGATCTGTATAACTAAGCAAGCGATTAAATATTGGTAGAACAGGTTTAATTAATTCAAAAGGTGGCGGTGGATTCTTATTTCGACATAAATTAGATAAAGTCCATACAATGTTCCTCATGAATGTTACCTAATGAAATTTTTTAATGTTCATATCGACAATATGAAAGCAAAAATGTAATCAAAAGGGTTATTAAATATAATATCACTTACTGAAGTATCAGGTTTAATTAACTCCAACAAAAGAGGTAGAGCATCATGTCCAAGAACAAGATCACGTGCATATGGTCCATCTCCGGCTATATTTCCTAAGGCCCACACTGCTTGTTCCGCAACAATAGGTGATGAAGATTTAAGTAGGTTCACTAATTTTGGTATTGCTCCATGTTTTATAACATTTTGTGTTTGTACGGATGTACCAGAGGCTATGTTAGTTAATACCCATGTTACTTCAAATTGTAAAGGAATGCTAAATAGAAATAAATAAATTATATCTTGTTTCTCTCATAAATGTATGAAAAAATAATTTACTTAAATCAATAAATCACTTTTATACATACTTAAGATTGTTGTCTAACAGCTCAATGAAACATGGTACTATGCCACCTTCTATTATATCATTTATAGGAGGATTTTTTTCTCGACTTAATAACTTTCTGCAAGCCTGAATTGCCATTAACTGTAATGTTTCATCTGATGACTTTACGTGATTTATTATTTCATTTATAGAAAGAGCAGAAGTGAGTGATACGTCAGCTTTATTCGATAAATCCGACACTTCTTGATTCGATATATCAAGATTACGTCGTTTTAACAATTGATCATCCTTCTTAGCTTTACGTAATTCCACTGATAATGCATTTCTTCTTATTTTAGCCTCCTAAGAGAGATATACACATTACATATTAAAGGAATGTCTGCAAGCAACATGACACTTTCTCCAAGTATTGTCTTCTATATTTAAAATGTATAAAAATAAATATATTAAAATATGTTCCATATACAAAAATTATAGGGTTTAAGCAATGCATCAAATGATGAGAGATCTCGAGAACTCCTCTATACTTACATTCAAGATCCAATAAGTATATATTGTTGTTTGAACCCTATAACTTTTATATATAAAATATTTTTCTTAAAAAGCGTTTTATTTACAAGATATCCAACTATATCCAGACTTTCAGTTCTCCCTATATATAGATAAACTTCATATATAATTTTGTATATAATCATTTATATACTACAGTTATATATGAAAAATTTCTTACCATACATGATATTAAAAAGTACACAAAAGCATTTACGTATAAAATTAAATCTTAAATATATGAAATAAGATTTATAAATAAAAATGCTTTATTTAAGTTCTGTAAATAAGAAAATAATTTTATTTAGACTTACTTCGTGTCTATTTTTAAATTTAAAATTTGCTATGCGACCTTGGCTATGATCATCTCGAGAAGGCATTGTCCTTGGACGTTGTACTTGATAGTGTTCTATATTGTTTGGTTTATTTCGCTCTATAGATTTACTTGCTTTTAAGAAGATTTAAATTAAAAATATATTAGTAACAATGACTAGTTGGAATATGATGAAAAATAATCTATACAATTAGATCGAGTCTGAAAATATATATCTATAATTAACCTTATCAAACTGACAAACTCACATTCACTTATTCAAATTTGACATTGTAATTTGATTAACGTTGAAAACCTAATTGTGGTAAACATTGTTAATTTCAAATTTATTTGACATAATAATTACGCGCGATGAGAATTAAATTATTTAACCGAATCTAAAAAAAACTGTGTCTGTACCGTTATCTCATAAAAATTCATAATTTACATTTAAATATTCGAAGAAAATTTGAGCGATTATGATTAACGTATAAAAACGTGATTGTGCTAAATGTTGATATTCTCAATATTATTTATTTTTCATAACGCAAATAAGTATTAGATCTCTCTCTCTCGATATAAACAAATTATAATAAACTAATTTAAACTGTACCTTTATAAATTAGACAGCGTAATAATTATCCGTTCAAACTATAAGTTCTCCTGCATATGCCTATCTCACTCGTTTATCTCGAAGAATTCAAATAACCTATCGATTGTAATTAATAATAAAAAAGAAAGAAAAACCGAATTCTATTTACAATTGCCCAATAAAAATCGTTGAAAATAACAAGACCACCAACGTATTCAACCGTTTTCCTAAACAGGATTAGCGACCTTTTCCTAGTGATCTGTTTTCTGTTCTTGCACTAGACTGCACTCTTGCTTTCACCAGAGAGAAACCTAATTGGAAATTACAGCGGAACGGAACAGTGAGACCTGGTGAGACCAATCACAATCGCAGAAAGGAAATCAGAGTAATGATTGCAGAGTTCTGATTGGTCTCACTGTTCCGTTCCGTTGTAATTTTCGCTCTATGATAAATCTTTATCTCTAGATATCGTTCTCTCTCTCTCTCTCTCTCTGTCTTTGATAGAAAAATTCAAAAAAAAACTGCAGAATTTTACTGAAATTAACATTTCATTGAAAATACTGACAATTTACCGAAATTTCGCCGAAATTACGATAAAATGAAATTTTTAGCAAAAATACTGAAAAATCATCGAAATTTTGAACTAAATTTCCTTCGTAAGGTTTTCCGAAGATACGATAAAATAATTTTTTCAACAAAAATATTGAAAAATCGTTAAGATTAGATTAAAATTTCTTTAAAAATTTGCCCGAAAATATTATATATATTTTTTTAAATATATTAAATGTTCTTTAATATTTTGCTAAAAGTATCGCAAAATTATTATAATATAAATACGCGAAAATTAGTTTCAACACATTAATTTTTTTTATATAAATGATTTTATTATGTGTGAGAAGACAATATATGGTATTAAGTATGTTCTTATTAGTACATTATATTCATCATTATTTTTTCTATATGCGTTCCATCTTTTTCACATCTTTGATTACATGTTAAAACTTTAACTAGATCGAAAAAAAAACTAACATCTCAGTTCACAAGGCAAAGCGATATATATTGTATTTTTCTGCCAAATTTATTTTTTCATGCAAAAACTTAATTACATCAAAATCGGAACTTGTATCAAATTGGAACAATTACTTGTTATTTTATTGTAATCACAGACTGAAGAGAATTAGATGAAAACACAATATCAAGCATAAGATTTCATGATTATTACTAATTAAATTTTAAAGCTATTTTTTTTTAAACGATATTTATATACAGACGGACACACGCACGTACGTTCACACAATAAATTTATTTATCTGTTAAACTATAAGTAAATTTAGCTTAAAAGTTTTATTAATTAAACATTGAATAACTTCTAATATAAATATTTTTTTTAAATAAATTGATATATTTAGACAAAATATTTTATTAACTAAGATAGGTACTTACTATAATTATATCTTACATAATCTTTAAAATAGTGCTTTAATTATAATGAATAAAAAAAAAGCACATGTCCTATTTGTGATATTATATAAAAAAACATAAAAGAGAGAGTAATTGCAATACTAACTGATTTGATTACTTCTTCCCCGTTTTAAAGCTGTAAATAAGAAATGTGCTGCTAGTACTTCTTTGAATCACTTGTTATCGACCTAATATAAAATCACTTTGATCATTGACCAAGAAATGATAAACAAATGCAGCTTTTTTTTTATCGAAAGTAATTTGAGTTGCACGACTTCTCTGATGGCGATCGCCTCTGCTTCTAGGCGGATACCTTAAAAATATTGATCCAAACAGCGTCGCTGCACATACAGACAAATGACGTCATATTAAAAAAATTTCGTGTCAATGCTCCTTATGTGATAGAGAAATTAAGAGCAAGATAGAAATAAATATATTTATAAGTTTACCAAGTGTCTTAGCATCGAGTTCGTTGTCTTGTGTATGATTTAATAACTCTTGCAAAAATGAGCTGATATAAAGAAAGACGGTCCTTCTAGTCTCTGGTAACTGCATTACAATCTATAAATGAATAAAATAATATGTGATAATTTAAATCCATAAAGAAAACATTACATATATAGTAAAACGCCAATTTCTTATTTACTTGTTTGCATTGTAAATAATTAGTTGCTGCTGACAAGCAAACATTATGTAGATTATATGGTATCAATGGTTCAGCAGTAGATTCTAAAAGCAGTAATAATGCCTCTGCTACCGAATGTACACCACCAGCTATGAAGAGAGAAATTTCTGTCAAGGAACGATTATTAATTATGGATCAGGCTTTATTTGTGTATGTATTATTAACATTATTATGTATTTTGAAATATAATATTAAAAGGATACGCATTGGATCTTGACTCCATTCATCTAACCAATCTCGAATAGCTATTATCTCACTATGAAGGCCTGGTGTTTCAAAAAGTCCTGAAGTTTTAAGGCCATGTCGATATAATCTATCCACTAAATGCCATATTTCTTTTGGAACTTGATATGGTTCTTGCGAGAGATTTTTATTATTTTCCTGCACAAATCAAGCATTTAAAGTACAAATTAGATTACAGAGAAGCACTTTCGCAATAAAATTACACCTATCAAATTTTATTGATATTTACCAATTCGATTAATCGTCCAATAGGAATTTCTCTAATTGGAACAGAAACATGCACCAATGCTTCCATGGAAGAACCAAAACAGCTTCTCTCATAAGTACCTGAAAAGTATTATTAATTTATACAACTATTTCTAAATAAACTAACAATAAATACAAAAATGAATGGTGTTCTATATATTGTCATTATTATGTGTATGTAATATACCTGTTATAGTAATGAAAATGTCTTTGCCTCCCTCGAGATGTAATACTAAAATGTCATATAACTTGTCTTCACCAGAATTCAATTTACACGCAGTCTTTTTATCTACATATACCTCCAGTTTAATATCACACTTTTCACCTGATAAAGAAAGAAAATATATTAGTATCGAGATATATATTTTTAACAAATACACGTGAAAAAGTGAATAATTTATACCTGGTTTTATAAAGCCTGTATACGGCTCTATATGCAACCAATCCTTGCAGTAGTTTGTATCGTCTAACTTTTTTATAAATTCAAATTGTACTGGTACCTAATTTAAAAATATAAAGAATGAAAGTAGATTGCGTGTGCATTTCCCTCTTTTATCTTACCTGGTACATACCTGGCCTGTATTAGCGATAATAAGTTCTTTACTGCTAGATTCGAGAAACTTCAAAACATCAAATATAATATCTGTGGTATCAACCATTACTTGAGGTAAGAATTCATTTTCTAATTTATCTAATTTCTTCATAACTTCCTCGTGTATTTTACGATACTTAGCCGTGTCTATAATACGTATCTGTTTTGGAAAATTTATACGACAAGCTATATAATAAGACACTTTTTTCAAGTAATAAATATGTAATAGATAAAAAGAAACGAATCTTTATTTGCACATTTACATACTTACTTGAGAATCAAAACTTGCACTAACTGGCTTGTGATCGGATATCTTTAGTTCCGGATGACTTTTGTAGTAAATTGATTTAATCATATCTCCTTTCCATAGTACTCGATCACACCAAGCTGGAGCTCTGCATTTCTCACTATATATACATCGTTAAACATACAAAATAATATTAAGTATTAGATTGAAATTTTCTTAATAAATATAAGTTGCGTAAAGTTTCAGAAATGTAATATAATTTTTAGGATACCTTGAATCCCAGTTGTCGGTACCTGGATCATATTTATATGTGGGTTTAAAGTCAATCTCTGCTTCCTGAAACCCTTGAAATACACGCCCTGCTTTGCGTTGATGTCCAAGTTGATCCAATGCTAAGATGGAACTATAGTTGCCTTCTGAAATGCACTCCTTAGCTGTTGCAGCATCCATATCCGTTATCCGATAATTTAAATCTCCCAACCAATAAATTTGGCTACACATACACAAATGATTATATATGTACACACAACATACTTATATTCCTTGCTCGCTTCACGATAATACAACTCGAAAAATTAATAACGAATTCGGTTGGACACGCTATGTGCACTAGTGCACATTATATTCTACTTTATCGTGTCAAAAAAATCGATTTTTTCTTTTTACACATTCACAATATTAACGAAGTTATATAACAGTTACTCTGCGTCTGTCAGCGCGCTAACTAAGCAGGATATTCTACTTTAACGGACAGAATACGAGTGTGAATCTTCATGTTTCTTGTAAGATAAAAATTTTTTTGCATATTGTTAACAGCGTACGACTTTTTATAGCCTTTAATTTATGTTTGTAATTAAGTTATACTGAAGTTACCCCATTATTTATCTCGTAAATGCATGAGAAACTTTAAACGCGTTTTTCTCGAAACGACTTTTTTTCAAATCGGACGTGTATATTTCTCAAGAGCTATTGGGCCGATCTACTTACGCTTTGGCACATATGTAGTGTACATATCGCACTATCGTTTGACCCTCCAACTTTTTGATATCTTCAAAATTACTATTTTTTCGGATCGCAAGAAATGAATGAATATTTTTTAGTAAAAATTGTGTGTAAAATACTTTTTTCCAAGTGCATTTTGTCAACTTTTCTTCTAATTATTTATTAGAGGGCCGAACGATAACTACATTTGTGAAAAATAAAACAAAACAAAATTCGTTTGTTTCGGATGACGAGGACGGCAGCAATCACCACGCCCGACGAAAGCAAATTTTTCAAGCTTCATCTGTGTATTTATTTATATCTTTTATAATTAATAATAGAACGCTTTGTAAAAATTTAAGGTAGTATTTCAAATATAGACAAATATAAAATACATAACATTAGCTATATAGAGTTAACCATTTTAACAAATTTAATTCCCAAAAATCGTCTTGAAAAATGAGTAGTCAAAGTAGAATACCCTCTTAAAACTGTTGCATATTGATTTAATCCGCACAAAATGTAAATATTTTAAATCGTAGAATACATATTTTATTTAACAGTGTAATAAAATTATTGAAAATTTCATGGTTTAATCCGTTTACACATACGCACGCACGCATACACAATTAGTAAGTTTAAAAGCATTTTTACAATATTCCAAGAGTTGTCACATTTTAAATTTTATCTTCAACTAGCATTTTTGACACCTA